ACCTCGCGCGACAAGAAGACAAGAAAAAAAAAATCAGTGACGTGTATTCACTCAGCAATTAGGTATTTGTGTAGCAGGAAGTGCGAAAAATCACCAATGCTCTCCCCCAGGATTTGAACTCAGGACCTTCCGACTGCTAACCGGGTGCTTAATGGCAAACCGCACATTGAGTTGATTAATGTTAACGAATTTCGCTTACTGCACATGTTCAATTGTGTACCGCTGGCGTGGGAGAAAATACTGGCGACTAAGCTAAAGAAACCCTACTCAAGCCTGTTCGTCATGTAGGTCTTATCAGCTGTTTACAATTACAACAGTCTATTTCATTTACTTACAGTAATTTATTTGACCTTTAATTCAGTAATTTAAGCTAGATTTAATGCTTAATTTGTTAAAGTATATATGAATGGAACGTATGGAAAATACTCAATTGTTTTTATTCCTCAGAAGTGTAATCAGCTAATATATTATGAGATGTTTCCTGTTTTGTAATCCTTTCTGAAACTTTGGGTAGTTTACAATCGACATTTACACTCCAAGTAATGAAGCAGCTTACAATCTGACACGCTTTAAAACCCCGAACTGTTTACGCCCAAGTTAACACAATATCAACCATATACTGTATTTATCTTCTTTTTAAATTGCGACAAAGTCGTAACTGCGCCAAATTCTCTTTTGGGCACGAGCAGTAAGCGAAATTCGTTTAACATTGATCAATTCAATGTGCAGTTTACCATTACGCTAACCGGGTGTGCTACCGATAACAGCAAAAAGACACACAAAATAAGGAAGAGGAAAACTTCTTACAATACCTTCCGAACAATTTTCGCTCCACAAGGCGTGGGTTGCAGTTAACCCTTTGCCAGGTTTCAGTTCTCTTGTTCATGTTCTTAATTTGCAGATCCTTCTTATCTGATCGGATATATATAATGCAAATTAAAGAGAAGATAGGCAATATTTAAATTAAGTTTTAATTATAAGTAAAATTTAAAATAATTCTCATAACAATGCTTTAGAATATCTTTGTAAGTTTCATTATCTACATTGCTTTAAATACGTCAACAATTCTTTTGGATGATATACAAATCAAAACCATAATTCTAGCAAAATGCTTAGTACTAAACAATATAAAGCAGCCTCGTGAAATTTTTCGCTTACCGTTCACTGTTTGTGATTCTGCGTTATCTCCATAACTGGTGTATTTATGATTCTTCTTGATGATAAAAAATTGCTTTTTTTCCGTTTATTTTCATCCTGTTTCTCCGCTGACAAATTCTACACTGTTTTGCCTACTTTAGAAACGCAAGGAGTGGTTTTACAATATGTTTGCAATATGTTTGCGTACTGTTCTTCAAGACACTGAAGCTTGGGCTTGATTTAGTTTTTATTTAACCAAGTTTTTATTTGACCAAATTTTTATTTGACCAAGTTTTTATTTGACCAAGTCTTTATTTGACCAAGTTTTTATTTGACAAAGTCCGGTTACGTTTTGAAAAAAATTAAATTTATGTCGTTTTGTTAATGTTTGTTTTCCAAATACGCCGCTGGATGGTTTTGAGGAAATACTTTTGTTCTGTAGATTTGAACTTTCGACGGTGGAGATTTGTCAAAAGTTCACATTCGGTTCCTTTGTAATTTTTAAACACATTTTAAAGTTTTTTTTTTTAAGAAGAAAAATCTTCAATTCTCAGTCTTTCACAATCAAATAATTTTGGTGCTCACCAGCGGCAGAGCGGTAAAGTCGCTGAACACCGGTAGTTCGATCCGGGGTTTGAGTCCCGGTGGAAAGGGCTGGCTGCATGGGCCTTTTCATGTTTATGTCATATCATGGCCATGTAACAAATTTATTTAAGATCCAAATGAACTCCCGGTGCAGCCTCTGGGGCTCCAGGAAGTTGTTTCTAGATAGTGAAGGGCGTGAGACATACGCCTGTTTACCTATGTTAAACACCAGGCGTCCCCGTCCTCGTAACCTGTACCTGTACCTGTTTATGTCATATCAACAATGTAACTAATGTAAACCAATGTCCCTCTGAAAAGAAATAATCCTCTGTATGGCCATGTACACCTTTTGTGAAGTATCAATAAACTCCCGGTGCGCCCCAGGGAGTTGTTGCGTCTGGATAGGGCAGGGCGTGGGACATATGCCTGTTTACGTCTGTTAGACGCTAGGCGTCCTCCGTCACCTGTCACCTGATTATCTATACTTGTAACGTGTATACGAGCCAGTTTCCCTTAGAAAGTCCCACACGAAAGCATTTATCCTTCTTAGGTAGATAGTCCTCGAATACTTTTTCATAAATAAGTAAATAATCAAAACCGTTTAATTATTATGATCATCCGTTATATAAAGAAGCAGAAAATTATAGATGTCAATATTTACAGCATTAACCATTCACCAACAAAAACCGATTTGTTTCAAGCAATAATAAAATTTAAACGTAAGCTTCGTTAAATATACATGCAAGGAATTATCATGAATGCAAATATGTACTTAAAAATTTGTGTTATTTACAGTAATTTAAATATGAACTTAAAAATCTGTAGAAACTTGCTCGTATTTGACGTTTCTTCGGCTAGTAAAAATTCTTTAATGTTTTTTCAAATTTGGAAATTGGAAAAAATAACGAAGAATATAAAATACAGTAGATATAAAACTAAAATGAAAAATGAATTTTAAAAAGGAAAAAAAAATGTTAGTACATTCTAAAATATTTAATATGTGATACATATATAAACTGTAACACACTAATTATGTGACCTAATTAAGACCGGAATATTTCAGTTAGTTAAATAGTTTATATAACTAAAATAATTTGACCTAAGCATCAACAAAAGTTAGATGAAAATTTTGCTGGGTGAATTTAGTAAGAATAATCATGAATATAATTGGTATTATATTAACTCCTTATTTGCAATAACATCAACAATATTGTTAAAAATATACTGAATACCCTTGCATACCATATATCGCGTCCTTTAGCGATAGGGTTTTGAAAATTAAAAAATATTCGCATAATTTCCTTCTTCTGTGGTTGTTGTTTTATCCATGAATGTCATGGAAGAATGGTTGGCAGAGTCTCAAGGAGGTTGGACTTCTACTTCCAGCCACCCATCCCACCCATCTCCCCTTCCACCAAGCCAAAAGAGTTGACCTTCGGCTCGCCATATATTTAGAGTGCCCTATGCCGCAAAGACACTATACATTTACAAACATTTATGCCTTCTCCAAGATTCGAACCTGCGCCCTTCGGTATCACAATAGGCTTCCCTGCCGCATTTCTTCCTTCTTCTATTGTACATAGTTTTTTCCTTTGAGGGCCAGTTTATTGGTAAATTGTATTTACTTGGTTATTTTTATTTTTATTTACAATATTCAATCTGCATTTTGGTATTAGCATTTCATTCATTTTTTTCCCGAGCATTTATTAATTGAAACAAATTTTGTGCAGATTCTTCCATAAGCTGTTCCAAGGTGGCACGTGTGTTCTCATACTTAGGAAGCTTTACAATGATGTGATTTCACCTTACTTCTGTTATTTACATTCGAGTTGAACGTATATGTGTTCGATCTTTCGAAATCCGGGTCGTTTGTTTGCCTTCACTTCTCCGATGATGTCTCTTCTAGGAACTGTGGTCAAGACTCATTCACGTGAGGTGCCTATGGGGCTTTACAAGGCAAACCGCCAAATATCGGCTCAAAGTTCGGTAAGATATTGAAATGTTAATATTAGTGTTATGTCTGGAGCAAAACGGTTTTACTTCAACTGACTGCCACTGGCTCCGACATAGCCATATGAATTCTCTACATCTAAAACTTTAAAACACCATTCCAGAATTTGAAAATGTATTTAATAGAATTCTAGTCCTATGTGTTATATACTATAAGCAAGTTATATACTATAAGCACAATAACAAAATTTGAACTTATCTGCACATCGAGAATAAGCACGGTATCAGTTTCTGAACTCGAGACAACTTTAAGAGGTAAAATACCGCAAACTCAAACCTAAGGATTTTATCCTTCTCAGCGCAGCTAATTTTCTAAACATATTTTACTAATATTCGCAGCGGGGCAGCAGGTTCCGTTTCATTTACCCAAACCCAAAAATGTAACGCCATAGTCTCGCAAAAAAGAGCAAAAATTTTTCTCAATTAAAACTAAAATGTACAGAATATCATCCGCTGTTGCCATTCAAGCGCTGCAGAATTTTCTTCCTGCTGCTGTTGCCAGACTTATCCTCGCTGTATGTGAGAGGTACAATGGAGTTTATTAGCAAAGTGTAGAACCCAGCAGAATACTCGAACTATTTTAGAAAAACTCGAAAAACATTTGTACCACTCGGAATCTTCTAATTATACACTCAAATTGACAATCACTCCCCTTTTAATTTCTGCTGCAACAGAGTAAACACAAAGTCTGGCCATCCTTCCGGATAGCCTTTCATAAATTCGGGGCCCTCCCACCAATTGCTTTGTCGTAAAAGTTCAGTAGTGCAGTCAAGAGATGCCACATTTGCCGGATTCAATTTCCCAGGGATATGTCTCCAACATTCCTATTTCGAGAGTTTCCGAATACCCTTTACTCTATTATTTACAAATACTTCACAGTTATCCTCTCGTTGTATCCAGCTAAGAGCCACAATAGCGTCTGTCCAATAATATATCGGGACATCGACGAAGCACAGAGCATCAACAGTATACTTTGCCAAGTGTGCACGGGAAACACAGGCTGGCAACTCCAAACGCGGAATAGTTATTTTCTTTAAGGGCGATACGCGTGATTTTGCTATGACGAATTTCACGAAAACTTTATTTCTTCCTTACTTCTTAAGTAAATGACAGTTGCATAAGCGGCTTGACTGGCATCGCAAAAGACGTGTAGAGTCCATGAATCCTTAATTCCATGACCCATGCGACGAGGTAATTTAAGGCTGGAAAGACTAGGCAACCTTTCGTACCATCTCTCAAATCTTGTTTGAAGTTCATCAGGTAATGGCTTATCCCAGGTCGATTTTGTTGCCCAAGCCTCTTGAAGAATTAATTTCGCAGGTAATATGACGAGCACAAAGAAACCCAAGCGGGTCAAAAACAGCATGGATTAGAGACAATAGTCTCCTTTTTGATAAGTCTCTTTGGACGGATATTGTTAGGCAGTCATCTCGTCGGTCCCACTGCAAGCCGAGAATTGCGGAGACTGGATCACTATCTTCAGCTGCTAGCTCTTGATCACCATAGTAATTAAAAGTCCTCATTCGAAGATCCAGTTTAGTTTCTGCCGTAATAGTAATCGACTGGTTCATAAAAACCTTTAGCTCTTCGTTATCATCGACTGACGTAACACAATTGTCAACATAAAATGATTTGGAAAGTTTTCTCGCAGCAGCTTTGAATTCAGGCGAAACATGGGACAAATGAAATGAAATCACAGCTGCCAATAAATAGCGGCTACTAGTTAACCCAAAAACAACCCTCTTGTGACGAAAAACATCGATTCTATTATTTACCCACCACAAAAACTTTACGTAATTTTGATCCTCACGCTCTACCTCAATCTGTAAAAAGGCTCGCCTAATATCGGATGTTACACCGATTGTCTTTTCCCTGAACCGCATTAGGATGGCTGAGTTTTTTTCTACAAGGTTTGGACCTATTATCAAGTAATCATTTAGCGAAAGCAAGCCAATGAACTTTGCTCGACACATCGAATCCCGGCCTAATCTTTTGGTAGTGAGAATGCCTAATTTTATTACAGGATTGGTATGGTAAATTCATTCTTTACTGATTTTGAGACAATTTCTATGACATTTTCCGATAGCTATTCGTTAAATACCGTACTATACTATACTATGGGTTCTGCGCATGTCAGCAGCCATGTTGGTTGGGTGTTTGAGAGCTCTGTTTTAAAATCTTTATTATTCGGTAAATTTTACTTTTGTGCTGTGCAACGTGAGTTATTTCAACGTGTTTTGTGTTACGGTTTCATATTATGTGCTATTTATTTCAAGATTAAGTGCTGTTCAGAAGATACAAACGTTTGAAAATTTCATGTCAAGGAACCTGCTCATTTGCATGCATGAGTAAGTTATTTACTGTTTTTTCGTTCAATATACTGTGCAAATAGATGTTACTTGAAGATTTATATTTAGAATTGTTTTTATTTATGTGTATTTTGAAAAGCACGGTACCAACTTGCATGGTTTTTATGTAAAGAGTACTTAAACTTTCTAATACAGCTAAATCATTTGGTGCATCGTTTATGTAAATCTTTCAGCCAGGTGGGAAAGGGAATTCGGGAAGTGTTGGGGGCACCAAAATTTCAGTCTTTGCGGCCCGTTGGTCGATTTGCTGAATTTTACTGATAAATTGTGCAGAAAATTTAAAAAATTATTTTGGAACGTTTTAAGACCATATCAGATGCTTTTATTGAGTATTTGAATTAATTTGAATCGCAATTGTAATGTATATATATTTTGAATTGTAGGACTTTGATTTAAGAATTCTACTTTGAACTTTGAAATGTACTTGAAGAGTTTATTAGTGATTTTATGAATTTTTGCAACTTTTAAGAAAATTGAAGAGATATTGTATTTTAATAGTGATTTTTAACTCGATTGCCTCCATATTTTTAGTATAGTTTTGTTTGTTATGTAAGAGTTTGTGCTAGTATTTTAATTATCCCCTTCCGAGGTGCTGATAAATTTTATACGGAGAAGCTAATATGTCTTCCTTAAAAGAAAAAGATAGCTTTGATAAACGTTCTACATAATTTCAACAAGATACCCAAAAAGCAGATGTTTTGGGGGTTGGTTATTAAGGAAATTTACGACACCATCGAAGTTAAACGGATTGCTAAGGATATTATACATGATTTTTCATCCGGTCTTGCTTTTATTGCAAGATGGGTGGAAAAGTGTTGCATTAGAAAACTCCAAACAAAAAGGTTCTTATGCGAAGTTCTTAATGAGCTAAGGAATATTTACCTTATACGGTACTATTCGGTTTCGAGGGCCATAAAAAATCGCCAAACAATTGTTGATGCCAATGCTGCCAAAAATAATTGCGGCTACCCTAATAATTGCGGCAAGACATGAAGTATAATAGTAAATAACTATCTAAGATTGATGTTTTAATTTCATATAATACATTTTTATTATTATAATTTATATGAAAAAGGCTAAACATGACTGAATGGAAGCATAAGAGTAAAGAACTATTTCAGATTATTATTATAATTTATATAAAAATTGCTAAACATAACTGAACGGATGCCTGCATCGCTATTTCGCTACCGACTTATCGCTAAAGCATAATTTCATCTCGTTGGTTGTTCAAACGTAATTTTCTATAATGAATGATGCCTTTTCTTTGAAAATATTCTCGGTAAAGTGCAGAATCGCTCACTTATGTGTTTGCTGCTTTTTACAAGGGTAAAAACAATTGGATTTTTGTCAATTTTCTTTTACTTTTTAAGTGAAAATAGGTCGATGTGTACATAGATAAAGTCAAGTGTGTGCGCAGTGCCATTTTTGTGCAATTCTAGGATTTTTTTAAGCGAAAATAGGTCGATGTGCACATGGATACCGAGTATGTGCCATTCTTGAAAACGCGTGAAGCAGTGGGTGATTCTGCACTTTACCCAAAATTCTATTGCCGACCTTTCGTCATGGGCAATTTCCAAAATGTTAAATCCATAGGATATCAAAAAAGGATTTAAAAATTAAACTAGTATTTCAATGACGTTTTAAGAAATATAGAACTATATAAACTTACGCAATCTGAAATCAACGCGTACGCTAGATTTGGCGCGCTGTTAAATCGGCGCGTTCGCTAGATTTGGCGCTTTTGCTCATACATTTTCGCTGCAATTATTTTACGGCCCTCTATTCTTGACAGGGATATTTTAAAAGAGGAAAAAGCTCAATATGGTTAAACCAAGGAAATATAAATTTATTAAGCCTAAAATTATATTATATAATGTCGGCGATTATGTTGAGGACATTGATATTTTAAAGAAATTAAAGGAAGACTGTACTTGTTCTGGAGATTGTGCAAGGGCATTGTTTAGGTTGCGTTCCAATGGAGTGACACATCGGGCTTTTGCTATCTCGTCCGAGTGTCAAGCTACATTTCTTGAGGAGGAGCGAGTGGCACTTGGATGGAAGTCCTATGCCGCTCGTCTCTATTTGAATCCTAAAAGAAGTTCAAAGCACTTTGAACTTCTTTTAGGTGTGGTTACTGGTTTTTTAGGTGTGGAACTGTGTGGTTACTGGGAGTGCGAGGCGAAAGTATAGACAAAATTGTAAAAATGAATTTTCAGAAAATTATAATAAAGTGGTGAACTTTGCAAAAACAAAGTCATAAATAATAATAGGCAGGCTGTCGGAGTTTACTGAAGAATTTAAGTTAAGTTGTGTATCTGAGATGGTTGTGTTTATTATTTTGTGTTTTATGTGATGTCTTATTTTGATTTTATTTTTAATAACTCGTTATTTTTTCTGTTCGTTTGGTGTGATTGTCTAGGTCTAGTCAATATATGGTTTTCACTGGTCGTATTTATGATATTGTTTTGTTTCATTTTACTAACTTTTTGGTGAATCTTTACATTATGGTAACTTGGCGAAAATTTGGCGACCAACCCTGCTACAGCAACCTGTTAGTTTTGTTTTGGACGCCATTTTGTTTTCACGAAGTAAAGGCATTTTTTTTATCCCAGAATTGCACAAAAACGGCATTGCGCACACTCTTGACTTTATCTATGTACACATCGACCTATTTTCACTTAAAAAGTCAAAGAAAATTGACAAAAGCCAATTCTTCTTACTCTTGTAAAAAGCGCCAAACAAATAAGTGGGCGATTCTGCACTTTAGCAGCGAAATTGTTTCTAAGTGCTTATTAGCTAAAATCACGATCGGAATTTTCCGGAAAATGTCACATTACATGTCTCAATCTCTCATTTCTCCGAGACAAAATAATCTGTGATTCGAACTGTGTACTTCTCAGATTATTGCTAAAGTCCTAGCTAGTAACCTTTATCGCCTTACCAAAATGTCGCCAAACTACCTGTTACCATATTCTAAGGATTAGCCAACTTTTCAGTTAATCGGTTTCTGGGGCTTGGTTTTCCTGGAGCTAGTAAATGTACGGTTAAATTATATTGAATTTTCTTAGTTTATATGCTTGTTTTTTGGACACTGCTGGATCGCTGGTTACCGTCGTTTGTTGTTGGAATTGCAGGTCCCCATTGAGAGTCGTACGACCGAGGAAACTCGTTCAGGAGGACTGGAGGTTTCGCCCCGTTACACTACCGTACTATACTTATCAAATTTATTTAATTTTCTCAATTTTCGTAGTAACAAAGAGCCTCTTTTCTGCAACCTGCAAGTTAGAGGGAATTTCAGGGGGAATTTTAAAGCCCAAGGTAAACGCACGCAATATCTACCATCTCCGGTTCTGCGAAGGCCCCTTACGAACCTGCTCTTGCACTGCTTGGTCCTCTGCGACCCTGGAAATGCTCTGCGCGTCATCTGCAATACCGATAGTTTCTAGTTTCCACATAACAGAAGGTTCCATGTTTTGAATAAGAAGATTGGTTCTAACATAGATGGGGTACCCCCAAAACTTAGGATAATCGTTCTTTTCGATTCCCCGCACAGTGTCCATCCCAGTTTAGTATTTATGGCTGTCAAACCACTCTCAAACTGAATTACATCACCAGAAGTATTTGCCTATAAATATCACTTCCTATAAGGATTTCTATTTCCGGGTGACCCTCAGCGACATCTAAAATCCAAATTCGGTGTCTTACTAAATCCTTCAATAATGGTCCGTGAGGTATGCGTGGTATGCCTCCACAAATGGTATTTTGATCCAGAAAACTAAATTAGTACACTTTGCATTTTCCAACCGGGCTTATAGAATATCTTACAGTAATATAATAGCCCAGTAGTATAAAAGCAAATGATTATTATAATATTTATTAAAAATGTACGTTTTGCCTACAACGTTTAGCACTAATAGAAATTAATTACAGCTTTTGCTTAGTAACCGTATAAGAGATATCATAAATGCAGTATGCAAAATCTTCAATGACAAACTATTAGTTTTACTGCTGATTATTTCTATTAGTAACACAAAAATTAATCTAATTACTAGATAATTAGTTCAAATAACATCATAAAATTTTATGGAGAAATAGAAATTTTAATTTACTAAGTAATCTTTTAACTCCCACCCACAAAACAAAAATTTAAAAATGTAAAAAAATTAAAATTTTAAAAATATTAGAAAAAGGTTTAAAAACAAATAAGCTCTTCTTTAAGCTCATAAAATAATTAGTGAACTAAAAGGAGAAAAAGAATTTGTCTTAGTTTAATTGAAATCGTAAATTAAATAATTTTCTTTATTGAATTCATATACAATTTTTTATTAAGAATAATAAAACCTTACACCTTATATAACGAAACCTATTCATCTATCAGAAGTATAAGTCATTATCTTTATAATTCTTTGCAATTTTCTATCAAGGCCGCCCACGTTTTTATTATTTGTGATACAAAATCGTAGATAAATTCTGTAGATATAATTATTTAATCTGCTGTTGTCATTAACTTA